ATATTTAAATAGATAGATGAATATATGAAAATATATCACAAGTGAATTGCATGAATTAATAATGTATATATTATATTATATTTATAAGTGTATAAGTACCTGGTTTAAGTTTTTGGAGTAACCTTGATGTTATTTTATGAGATGTTTCTTTTGAGGGTAGGGCTGCACTATCTATTATTAATAAATAAATAAATAATAATTAATATCTATAATAATAATAATAATGTAATAATAACAATAACAAGTATAATACCAATTATATGACATAAAAAAGCTGATGCCATTGGTGCCTCTGAAAGAACATCCACAATTACTGTAATTAATTCTATAAATTCATTTTCTAACAATAGTTGCATTGAATTAGTTTAATTAAACTAGAGTTATCATATATAATAATTAAGATAATAAATAAATCGTTACCTTCGTGAGACATTGATATTAAAGTTTCTAAAGCTTCTGCTAACTCATCGTGTTCGCTCAAACTATTTAAATTTTTCCAAGCGCTACGAATGAATGATTTACGAGAAAATCGACTTAATATGCGTAAAGCCAGCTTTTGCATTGTTTTAAAGGTATATTAAAGTTTTGAAAGTGACTTCTTAAAATAGTAGTAAAAAAATATTTTTTTATTAAAGCTTAAAAAAAAACAATGGGTCTCGATCAATCAACAATCTATTTTACACATGTATATTTTCTTTATAAATATATAAAAAGATGAAAAGATGAAGGAAATTATTATTATTGCCGGTTAATATTTAAATTAAATTTTTTTTACACATGGTCTTAATTAAATTAGTTTAGTCAAGCGAAATGTCATCATGCAGAGACGAGGGTCAACTATTTTAGACGATCGATTAGAATTCCGAATAGTGTAACCAGTATATTACAAAACCAGACAAAGTGAACATTTATTTGTATTATCAAGATTCCAAATTTTCAAGTGCTACCACTGTCCGCGATTTCTTGGCTTGGGTTTCGTCTGACGGGTAATGTGATTATGGATATTCAAGAATACCATAGTAATAGAAAAATTACAATTATCACAAACAAGAATGACATCAATTTTCTTGTTATAATAAAATTCAAAATTCAAATTCTTACAACAAACTTTGCCCCCGTATAATATCACTAGTTCAATCATTATGTAATTTCAAAATTTTCGTTGTTAAACTCTAAAATATGTGCATGACATGGCCATAAAATTTTAATATTTATTGAATTGGTTCTTTATCAAGATTATCATTAGCACAACTACCTTTACTATTGCAACAGTATCATCCCAAAAGTTAAACTAATGGCTAAACAACAAAGAGCAAAAAAAGATATATGACAGGTGGGCTCTATTGATTAAAAGTGAGCCTTTAAATATTGAAACAAACCTAAACTATATTCTCTTTAGATGTGTAAGACTGACTGTTTTGTTTT